GATTATACAACATCAAAAACAATTGAACAATATCAGAAAGGAAATCAATTTCGTTTGCCTGATTTACCACAAGTAAACAATCTTGAAGTAACTAATTTTCCTACATATTCAATAGTACAATCTTTTCAAGTTATGAGGGATAACAAACAAATGTTACCACTCGATTTTTATGAACGATTAATAATAAAACTGCATTCTCAATTAATTGAACGTCTTGATTACAAAGATTTAATAATTGCTCGCACAGAATATAACGATTATATTAAAGTAGAACGACTACAATCGAATAAACTATTGTCATCACACGACTATACAAAACATTACCAAATTCATTCAATATGAAACATATAACTATTATATTAAAATCAGTCGATGAAAATTGTGCGATTCATATTAAACATATTATCGATCAAATTCTAACAGATATTTGTTATATTTTATAGTGGTATAAAGTTTCAAAAACATCATATGATGAAAAACATTGAATAAACTTCGTTTAGTGTCTTTGCTATTCATCTTTATTGGAAATACGTATCCTAAACTTCAAAAGAGTGAAGTTGATATGACGAAATAGTTTGGTGAACAAAACAAGGATCTTTTTGCTCTTTCTATTTGAAATAAGTCTAAGTTTCAATCCAAAATACTCTGTGTGGAAATAGAAACTGTGCTGAACAAATAAACAAAAGAGGCGTGAGGTTTGCTTTCTTTGTTACAGGGAACATAAGAACATGCATCCATGATAAGGTATAGTAACAGATATGCTAGTATTGTATACCTAAAAAGATATTTACTACTTATTTTCAAGATGTTCTAGCAGATACTTTCTTTGTTTATGTCCACTGCACTGTGATGATCATTTCAACTTTTACCTGTACCCATCAAAGAAACAAAGTTATCTGAGCGTATAAAACGGCTACTTCTACATCTTATTGTTTACTTATATATGCAAAACCGCAGGACAATCAACAATCTAGATATGGTGCATATATTTCTATACTGTGATATACGTGAAGAAGATCCAATAATTAAAAATCACTTAAAACGTATTCAATGCGTTTCTTGCTCCCTTGTTATAGTAGTTTTTGTCGCTCTTGTTTTATTTAATTTCTTCATAATCTAAATTATCATCTCTATTATTTTTTAAGCCTTCACGCTATGATAGTTCAATTAGTTAATTCTCGCACTTGTCTTCCGTATCTGCGTCTACTATCTTAATACAATGTTACAGCTCTACTTTTCCATAGTCTGTTTGAATTTTGATCAATTAATAATATGAATCAAGTGAAGCACTTCATCTGTTCTGAAGAATGTCAAATCAGTAACACCTATCTGTAATACTAAATAGAAGTAGAAGCAATAAAATAGGTTTCCATTTGATCGGATGTTATAGAACAATTTTAGTGACTGTAGTTAAAATATAAAATGTTGTGTGTCTCAATGTTTACCTGTACTTCATAACAATAGACGTTGATAATTTAGATTATGAAGAAATTA